AAATGAAACTTATCGGCCCCTTTTTTTTTACCGACCTCAAAAAAAGTTATCGTGCGATTAATTGATTTATTGACTATCGCGACAGGCCTAGTGGAAGATTTGTATATATTTGGATTTATGATAACTGGATTTCTGCTGATTAGCGGAGGTGGATTCCTGATTTATCGAAAAGTGAGAGCGATCCTGACAGCGGTCCGGGCCTGTGAGAAGCTGTCAGGCGTAGTGGATGGAATTTGCCATTCTGGGGGCACACAGACTCAGATGCTGGGGGAGATAAGTCGCAAACTGGATGTGATTCTGACGAGAACTGCAGGTCAGCAGCGTGCTTCTGGCATGTAGGATCACATCTGGGTGAAGCTTCAGATGGTGAAAGATTTGATTTTATTTTCCGCCATTTTCAAAGATGCAGTAAGACTGAAAAGCAGCAAGAAATTCAAGGCTGCTTGTTCCAAAACAACAGTTATCTATTCGGCTCCTGGCTGCTTGGCCTCGAATGCCAAGCTACCTAAACTCCCCAGTTTGATAAAAGGGCTTGATTCCCTTCCCTCCTCCGCATCACCCGTGTCAGATCTGGTCTGAAGACCGAGGAAGGGGAAACTGAGCTCTGGTGAACCGAGCATGAGGCGAATAAGATCTGGTCTCTGGTGGGTCTAGGATCAGGTTCCAGCACGGAAACTAACCTCAATGTCACCGGCTTTACTGAATCCCGCCCCATCTCGTTTTCTTAAAAAAGCATCAAACATGAACTTCATGTGATGTAGTGCATTTTGAAGACGACAACAAATGCAAGAAACATTCTGTGCTCATGTTTTACTTACATTTGTGTCTCTTTGATCCCATTAACAGATTAAATTTACCCTCAGATTTAAAAGAAACATCCTCCTGTATGAAGAGTTTGTGTTGTCAAGTTGAATGTGATACTAACCTGAACAGTTTTTTCTCATGTACAGTATGTGCTTAACACATGTTTGCTCAACACAGTTTTAACCTTTTAATGAAAACACACTCTTCTCTCTACTTCATATATATATATT